AGCCAGTGAGCGGGAACCGGTCTGTATGTGGGATCCGAACCCTCGGCGGGAGCGCAACCGCACTTCCCAAGCGGCACACTAGCGCAGTGTGCCACCGGGCCGGCCCCTGTGGGTAATACTTTTTAACCAAAATTCTTGTTTTTGCAATTTAAAAAGAAAAGACTGCCAGACCACTTAATGTAAAACCTTACTACAGTCACGTTAGAGAAAAACACGATTGTGTGTGTGGTCAACTGGTGGTAAATGGGGTAGTTTGTCAATAATTCCTTCAAGGTTTAGGTGTGGTGCACAGGCTATATCCTAAATCATCTCTGTTTGAATCTCATTCTTGAAAATGATACTTAGATTTAAATGAATGCCATGGGTTCTTTGTTCAGATGTAGGAAAATTTTATATTCTAATTTTTTAAAAATTGAGGATAAATATATTCAGTGAGGTGCACAAAAGTGGAAAAATCAAGTATGCATCTTATGTTTGCATATATGTGCTAGCCAGGTAAAGAACATTTTCATCACTCCAGGAGGTTCCCTCCAGCTATATGTATCAAAAGACAAAAATAATACCTAGAAGTAGACAAGAAGTTTGATATTTTGAAGAAAATGTCCATCCTTCTTGTTTCAGGAATGGGATGGCCTAGTAAGGATCACCTTTGTTAGGAAAAATAAGACACTGTCTGCTGCATTTAAGTAAGTATTTTCCTAATTTCAAATGTATGAAAGACCAGTGCTCCAGATACTGTGCTGGAATTTGGTCCTTTTCCTGAACAGATACCCTGAAGCATAAAGAACAGACATCCATGTCCAGACAAACTTCACCTTTTTAACTAATTTTGTACTTTGGGAGACAGGAGAATTTAATGAAGATAGTTGCTGAAGTTGGGAGTCAGATCAGGTTTTTTGGCAAAACAGGAAAACCCCAAAACTCTGACCACACATCTGCCTAGTTTGTTGGAAAATTGGGGTGATGGACCCCTTCCACACTTGTGAAGGATTTGTGCCATTTTATTAACTTGGAAAAACTTAACAGCAATTTGGTATGCAAGGGTAAGAGAGGTGAAAAACAGTTTTAGAGGATCTGGAGATTTTTTTAGGGAATGTTTTGTGTAGGGCCTAGGAGAACTTCTCTAAGAATTTAAGAGATATTTATCAGAACTTTAAAAATATAATTAATGTTTGCTTCATAAGTTTAAACAATGAAAACTATTTAAAATTCCTAATTTCACCACATGGAACATAGATTTAACCTTGTCTAAACTGAAAGGAAATTATGTACTCTACAAAGTTTGTGGAAAAATGGAAAGAAAATATGTACCTTTCCATGAACTTTTTGCAGTACCCTCATATAGTCTCTGATTTTGGAATAATAATATAGTGATATCACTTCTTAAATTTTTTTCTTAATTTCTTTTTATTATTGTGATAACACTTCTTTACGCTATAGATCAAGTGCAGTGCAACAGCTGTTGGAAAAAAACTACAGAATTCACTGTTCGGTCCACAACACTGTAAGTAGGAAATGTTTCTGTAGTTTTAATGATTTGTTTTCTTTTATAATGTCCCTCTTTTTATTTTTTAACCGATGAGATTCTTAATTTTGTATATTCCATAGGATCCTTCCTAGCACAATTTTGACTTGAATTCTGGCAGGTCAGTGCTCCTTGTATTCTGTGGAACAGATCTGAGCAACCTTGACTACTCAACCCTCTCCTCCTTACTCAGTTATTTTTAGCCATGACAGGAATCAGATTCAACTAAGATATAATAGCCTCAAAGCCACAGACATGTGTAGCTTGTTCAGCTTAAAATAATTGTGTACAATTTGCTGTCCTCTGAATTGTGACCATCCTTTGTTGTCACATAGCAATTACAAATTTAAAGTTACTATTTTCTGTAACTTTTTTCAATACCCAGAAATTGAAATTAGAATACATTATAGGCTGAAAAGCAGATTTCTGGTTGTGAGCCTCATTCCTCTTATTATCAGTGCAACACTTTCTTTAAACAAGTGTGTGTGCAGGCACATGCACATATCCAACATATAATGAGTATGTGATGTTTGCTAAGTTTTTAGCTCTTTCAGTTTAATTAAACAAAACAGACAGATAAGGCAAATTTCGTTTGTATTTTTTATGACCCATATCCTATATAGTTTAATGTACCACAATGCTATCTCCATGTTCTCTTTTATGGGTAAAAAAAAAAATCATTAACTATCTCAAAACAGACAGATAAGGCAAATTTCGTTTGTATTTTTTATGACCCATATCCTATATAGTTTAGTGTACCACAATGCTATCTCCATGTTCTCTTTTATGGGTAAAAAAAAAAATCATTAACTATCTGCCTAAGTAGACAAATATTAAGCTGGATTAAGAAAAATCTTTGGATAAAAGATATGAGTTAAGTATGAAATATTTAATATTCTCAAGGGTTGGAGAGGTCATCTCTGAGAAAAATTAGCTGGTTAGGTGAAATTTGTGGCAAAATGTGTATTATTTTGAAAGGAGTAACAATTGCTTTAAAATTTTGTTTATAGCTTTAATTATTTTATTTGTGAAGTCTGAAACTGATAACTATTTCAGAATTTTAAAGAAGAAAAAGAGATACTCATTCAGGGTATTCGAAGTATTTGTTATATGGTAAAGATCAGCCATTTAACTAATTAGAGATCCGTGTCTTATCCAAACAATGAGGCTTTCCAAACTGTCATTAACAAATATATTAAAGGTGACTATGTTATTATAACTTACTGGGCTAAAACAAAAGAGTCAAGGTGACTTCATTAAAGATATGTTGTTCATTTATTCTGAGTCTTATATTGATAGATAATACCAGAAGATTTCAGCATAGCAGATAAAATACAGCAAATCCTAATCAGCACAGGTTTTAGTGACAAACGGGCCCGTTCCATGGACATAGATGACTTCATCAGGTAATTACATTTTTGCTTTCCTAAGGGTTTACATTTCTTTACTGTGACACCTTCAGATTCGAGATTTAAAGGCTTTTAAGCGGTAAAAGGTGCTACCTGGGAGAGTTATTGCATAGCACTTCCATGGCATGGAATAGTATTTGGTGTGAAAGATGGAGGCTAGTTAGCTGCAGCAGAATGAACATTTTCTTTAAGAACAGTAGTAAGGAACAGTCCGAGCCAGAAGATTGCCTCTGTGTTAATGTGTGTTGTGGTAAGTATGTTCCTCCCCTCCAGACCTCTCCCCCATTTCTCATTTATGGTCTTAATAACTTTTCCCTCTTAATAGCTTGTCCCTCCCTCCAAAGTAGCCTGTAAAGTAGAAAAATCATAATGCATGTAACTGGATCTGATTCTTGTTTCCTTATTGGGAATAGCTATTGTTAAATAGATCTTAAGCATGAAATAATGTAACAGTCATACCCGATTATCCATTTAGTAAAGATAGTCGTTTTGTAGCCTGAGGCAAGTTCTACACATCTTGAGTGAAAGGGTGTCATAATGATCTGGGCAATTTAGACCAAAATTTGTCTTCCTTGAATTAAGTAAATATGAAAGCCAAGCATGGCTTCAATTAATTACTCAGGTAATTACTGACTTGTACCCATTGTTTTTAATCATTAACACTTTAACTTTCAGAAGTTCTTGCTTATTTAGCCAATTCACTTTTTTTGGGTGGCTGGCGGGTGAGGGGAACCAAACCCTTGACCTTGATGTTACAAGGCTGTGCTCTAACCAGCAAAGCTAACCAGCCAACCCCCAGTTCACTTTTAAAGCTTCCATGTTCTAGAGGCTGAATAAAAACAAGAGGAGGGTAGATTATTTTAAGTCATTGGTTTGACTTTTTCTAAGCTGGAAACACAGTTCTATGTAACAAAGACAAATGGAGTTTATATTTTATTAGCTGACTAGCAGTACTACTGAGTCTTTCTTAGGTGTTAATCCTAGGAGTTGGAACACTATTCATAAGCACCTACTTTGTTTGCTTTTCTAGTCATTTTAATCCATCTGGACCTGTTTTTTTTTTTTTTTTTTAAAGATGACCGGTAAAGGGATCTTAACCCTTGACTTGGTGTTGTCAGCACCACGCTCTCCCAAGCAAGCTAACCGGCCATCCTTATATAGGGATCCGAACCCATGACCTTGGTGCTATTAGCACCACACTCTCCCAAGTGAGCCACAGGCTGGCCCTCATCTGGACCTGTTTTTATGGGTCAGCCTGAAAATAATTTCAGGCCTAAATAGAAATATTTCATCTTATCTTCCTTCATTCTTACTAAATTTCCTCAAGGTTACTGAGCATGTGCAGTTTGCTAACTAGAATCTGTTAAGTACATAGGCATCCACAGAGAGAATGTGTATTTACTCTGAACCTCAGTAACAGTTCAGAGGAGAACAATGGGCTTGTAAGACTGGCCATTCATTTGACTTCTGCCTTTAATTCCAAACAGCTTCTTGTTCAGCTATGTTGAAGTGGAACAAGTGCCAATGAGCTCTTAGGCCTGGGATAGCAGGCCTCTAAGATAATTTTAGTCAAATTCATTATAACTTAAGACATATAGGCTATAGCAAAAGAAAGAGGCACCAACATGACATGGTTTTAACTGATATATATCTTATAAATTTCTTTGGAAAATAAGGTTTTTGTAATGACTTGTGGTAGGAGTGAGTAGGCTGCATAAATATGCTGTGTTCAGGTTTGGGAGTTAATGGTATAGAACTATACACCATTATCTGCTATAAATTAGCTTTTCAGTACTATCCCATTTTGGTTTCTTTTTTTCAGATTGCTACATGGATTCAATGCAGAAGGTATCCATTTTTCCTAGGTAGTTGGAAAACAATTTTTCAAGGTCAAGATAAGAAAAGAAACAAATTACATATTTTTAATATTTGAGAAGATGGAACTATGCTTTTGCTCCACTGGGACATTATTTGCTTGACTATTTTGATTTAATACTACTGTTGTCACCACTTATTATTCTGAATTTTTAAGGTGGTCAGTTCTAAGTACCTAAGTCTTTCTGGTTTGGGTGTTTGGGTTTGTTTTCTATATAACATAAGGCAAGGTCCAGTCTACACATAATAACCTTCAAGTTCAAGAGCCGCAGGTACGCACAACTTTATATTTAAACTTATCATTTCTAACAGTTTATTGTATAAAGAAGTTACTTTTCTATTTACTGTGTTATATTCTCTGAGGCCCTCTTTAGGCCTTCAGCTCTGTCCCTTAAGTAGTAAAAAAGTTAAAATATGCTTAACTAGTCACATATTCCCCATGCTATTTCTTATTATTCATATGTACAGTAAAACAGTTATTTCTTCAGATGTTTTCATTTTGCTTCTCTTTTTCTTTGCCCTGTATATCCTATACAGTTTCTTCTATTATTGCCTACCTCTTCAGCTATCCTGTTGTATGACAGATTGCATCAGGGTTTCTGGGTAAACTTGAGTCTTTTACTGCTAGCATGCAAAGCCAGGCATATTCTGGGCATGACTCCTTACCTGTAAAATGAGGAAGCTCAACTAGAATGAAATTAACCATAAAATTATATGTTTTCTTCTTCGGGAGATAATCATAGGTTTAGTAGAATTTTAAAGAGCTTTGTAAATCAAACTTGGTTTGATAGTTAAAAATCTCTGCCTTCAACTTCAAATAAAACAGCCATTTCCCTACAACTACAGATTCCTAGTATTGAGAATTTTAATAGATGTCATAAGTTTTATAAGCTACTATGTTAAAATCAATATAATACTGTACTGTTAATATAATTTTTAATAAAGAATTATAGTAGCTATTTTATTTATATAAGAAAATTAATAAAAATATCTTCACTGATATTTGGCTTGCTTTATATCTAACTTAATAGGAGTGTTTCCAGTTAATTTATTCAGCAATGCCAGTTCTGAAATCTGGCTTCACAGTCATACAGTACATGTTACTACATAATTAAAATAATGCATGTTCCTAATTGCTTATTAATAGGGATATGAGTTTTCAAGTCAGAGAAAGTAATAAAAAATGTTTAATCCACAACAAAAAAATTAAAGTTACTTAGATGCATCAAGCCATGTTTGTTACATTATTGAATATACTTAACAGTTGGATTTTTAAAAATCTCACACAACTACTTACTTTGGAAAAGTTCACTTGTACCATCTCTATCCTTATGGAAAAGATTTAACATTTAATTTAGCTTTCTTTTTTTTTTTTTAAAAGATGACCGGTAAGGGGATCTCAACCCTTGGCTTGGTGTTGTCAGCACCACGCTCAGCCAGTGAGCAAACCGGCCATCCCTATATAGGATCCGAACCCGCAGCCTTGGTGTTATCAGCACCGCACTCTACCGAGTGAGCCATGGGCCGGCCTTAATTTAGCTTTCTTAGGTTAATTCTTTCTACCTCTCTGAGTTGCTGAGTTTTAGTCCGTTTTCTGGCCTGCAGTTTCCCCGTCTGTAAAGCTGAAGGACTATATTTTACTATCTCCAAGATATTTTCTGGCATTAATTTTTTAAATACTTTGACTACTGGTCAGAATAAAGCCATCATAGTATAAGTCAGCATACCTGTCTATAAGGAGACATTCCAAAGATAATACCCAGCCAATGCAAATAACATAGTTAATCTGTTGTACTTTAGAATAAACTAGTTCACGTCTTTACTGCCCTTTGAAAGTTGGTTAGACTCAAAAACTACCTTTTTAAACAGCCTCTTCAATAGTAATAGTTCTCCATTCTTCCTCTTCTTTGAAATAAACACAAATAGAATATATCTTACAACTGCAAAAAGAACCTTGTCCCTTCCAAAACAAAACTGATTGTACTGAAGTAAATTAGCTCTAAAATTCATTCCATAGATTTCATTTATTAATAAGCATATTGTGAAAATCTACATTTGTTTTAGATTTCAAGTTTACAGAGGTTTTCATTATGGTGTTAGGATTTCTTACAACTACCCTGTGGGTTTTATGAACAGTGAAACAGAGAATCTGGCTCATGTAATTCTCTATTCATAGCTTCCCTTTCGCTCATATGAATGAGCTTGTAGTTCCCTAGAGTAAATCAGAACAAGATATCCTTGGGAGATTTTTTGTTGTTAATCTACTCCTGGACTCTGCCCTGAGAACTGAGGGGAAACTCCTAGAGAGAGATGTATAAAATTTAACAAAATATTTACATGAAAAGTGGCCAGTTTTCTTCCTTGGAGTAGCAATCTGTAAAAATAAGTGCTGCCATTTAAAAAGGAGCGTACCCTACACCAGTCTCTTGGTGAGAATTTGATGTTTCTCACCAAAAAATGGTGAAACATGACATAACAGGTACTGGATGGAACTTGGGTTAGATCTGCCTTTTAAGGCAAAGTCAACTCTTTTTCAGCTTCTTTTTCAAGGGGGTTATGTACTGTCTACACTTGGCTTAAACTAACTTCTATTATGGACTACTTTCAATGTACATGTAAATGTTCATGCATCAGAAGCCAATTTCCTTTAACAGTACATTAAAAAGGTATATTGTGGGGTGCCAATGAACACTTCAACTTAAGTAATGGTATTGGTAAGGATCAAATTGCACTATTAGTCTTGTTAATACCACACTGGCACACACACTGCATATATATGGATTATCCTAAGATAAAACTCTTCTCAGAATTTCATTACTTTTTATTATACACCAACTAGTTTATATTTTAGTTCTTTACAAAGAAAATGCTAAGAAAATTATAATCACATGTTTTATGGTTTAAATCATAATTCCAGATTTCTTTACATATAAGATGGAATGGTCCAGCAGCTATGTCCACTGTCACAGACTTTAGTTCCATTCAATGATATGGCACATCCTGCAAAATTAACTAGTCACACACAAAAAAATGTCTCAAATACAGTAAAAATGTACACACAATAAAGGTAATTTACAATGACAAATAAGGAATGTAATTTATCTTGGCTGTGCTTCAGAAATTTAGGGTCAATAGCCTTAGTCAAGGCACAAAGCAAGAAGAGGTGAGCACAGCTCTCTCTAGGAGTGGGCAAGGTATGTACAATCACTGATGAGGTATGCATGCACGCAAAGGACTTAAAACTGCTCAGTCTTGCTACGAAAATTGAACCAAGTTAAAAGGAAATGCTGTGGCTTCTCCCTACTGTCCACACCTCTGGATCAAGTCCACAATCTTACTTCATCATGTAGAAAATAAAATTGGCAAGGATCTCCAAAGGTAAATCACTATTTGGGTAAATGAAACAAAATGCTTCACTAATCCCAATTCTTGGTTGTGCCTCCTCAGAAGCATTTTGTAGACAAAGGAGTGTTTCACAAAATTGAAATGTCATTCAGGTGAAGGACAAGACATTTTCCACAGACACTTAAAATTTCAAACTTTCAAATGGCCCTTATAGCTGAACCATTGTATGTTACAGTAGTGAGGGTTCTGGGGATCCTTTAGCAGCCAATACCAATTTAAAGGGCACGGGGTCTCTTCGGGTTGATTTGCTTGCTGGCTTGTTCTTCTTCTTGTAGGGCTGCACGAAAAGATTTCACTTTATCTTGGAAAAAGACAAGAACAAGGGAATAAGTATTGGGTTACATGCAATACAGTATACAACTCTAGGGGTCTTATTAAGTCAGCTGTCTCATAAGAATAACAGTATTTTTTCTTTTGTTATTTATTGCCTTGAAACAGAACTAAATACAATGCTCAACTATAGCAAAAGCTTTATTACAGATTCCTATTTTCTATGAAATATCTATTTTTCTATGTCTTTCAACAGGTTTCTGTTCTGTTTGGCACATTTTATAGTGTTTGATTTTAATTTATTTGATTTCTTTTGGAGTACAGGCAGGCTTTATATATGTAAAATATGTAGTTATGTCCAAAGGAAAACTGTTAAAACTGTAAAACAGATATTTCTTCTCTCAATATTAGAAAATTTCCACTCCCCATTCCCATTTTACCTTTCTTAAGCTATGAAATTTTAAGATACTTGAATTTTTAAAAATAAATGACTGTCCTACTGTCTATCGTGTACTGATCTAGAATCATGAGCATGAGAAACAGGTTCATAACTGGCAGGGGCTAATTGCAGGCAGCTGTGAAGATGAGACGTCTTTCTGTTACAGTGGTTTTCAACAGGGGGTGATTTCCACCCCCTTCCAAGAAACATTTCATAATGTCTAGAGACATTTTTGGTTGTCACAACTGGTATAGTCCTCCTGTCATCTAGTGGATAGAGACCACGGATGCTGGTAAACATTGTTACAATGAACAGGACAGCACCCCTCAATAAAAATTGCCCAGCCCAAAATGTTAATAGTGCCAAGGTTATAAAACCCTACTCTATAACCTTCAGAAGAAAAGGAAGGTAGAGAGTTGGAATCAATTTCCTTCCCCTTTTCAGAATGATGTTTAAAAAGTTAACTCCTCTAGGGATGGCCAACAGCTCAGTTGGTTAGAGAGTGGTGCTTTAACCCCCAGGTCAAGGGTTCAGATCCCCATACCAGCCAGACACCAAAATAAAAAAGTTTTCTGAAATTTAGAAAGGAATTTAAGGACTTCTGGATCTGCTGCCTGCTAATATAACAGCTCTCGAACTTCTCATATTAATGCAAAATTATCTCTGGATTATTAAAAACATTTTCTAAGAAAGGATTAAATAATGTATTCTCTAGATAGCAGTTTCTTCAAAGTTACAGATATGCTTGATATACATGAAATCTGAGAAAATTAAGGAAAGGAAGTCAATTAAGTTGAATGTTATATATTACAAAGAAAAATACCAGAGTGCATTATGATCTGCCTTCTGAAAAAAAGGCATACAGAAAAGCTGATTGTGAATTATTGTAGGTTAAAAAAATGATTAAAACAATTTAAACTAAGGCTTGAATATGAACAGTATGAAAAACATGTAAATTTTAAGGAAACAGTTACTGCTGACTTTACAGGATATGATTTCAAATAACCAACTTCACAAAAGGGTCTTTAAAAAGTTAAGCAGCTTATTTACTCCTAAAAACTAGGAATTTCAGTCTGGTTTCATGTTGCATTGCATGTACACACATATACAGACGCCCACTTGCACATAAATAGAGCCAACAGCTTGCCTATGCTTAAGAAAGCACATACAAGAAACACATAGCTTATTTGTGCAGCTTGAGATATTTAAAAAGCCAAAGCCATGGGGTGTCAGTCACATGCTTGCTTCATGAGTAAGGTAGAAAGGGTAGTCATCTTAATACCCTCCCCCTTCATTCTGTTAAAAAAAAGTGTTCAAAGAAAAAACATGACACAAGATGTCACAGAAAGAAGATGCAGACAGGTGGCTATTGAAAGATGATCCTGAATAAACCTAGTCCAAGGAAAATTTTTTAAAATGTGTATTTTTTGGTGTCTGGTCAATATGGGAATCTGAACCCTTGACCTTGGTGTTGTAACTCCATGCTCTGACCAACAGAGCTAACTGGCTAATCCAAGGAAAATAATTTGGACAAGCACTGGACTACCAAATTAAAGATCTGAATAGGTATATAAAATTTGCAAATTTGTAGGGTGGGCTGGTCAGCTCAGATGGTTACAGTGTGGTGTTGATAACACCAAGGTCAAGGGTTTGGGTCCCAGTACTGGCCAGCCGCCAAAAATAAATAAATAAATAAATAAAATTTACAAATTTGTTAAAATAACATTTTTCTTCTTTAATCATAAGGTATTTTAATTAATCTTAATTTTCTCAAAAGAATAAAAGAATAAGATGACTAGAAAGAACCTGAAATGACACTCCATGTTTTTCAGAAGAAACAGAATGGTTGATTTGTCTGGATAGAAGGTGCTACATGGTGCCCATGATTTTCACTTCAGATCTCTTCTTGCAGTATGAAATTCTCCCAGTAATATACATACCAATACCAAGTAGATTTCAAACAATGTTTTTCAGAAGAAACAGAATGGTTGATTTGTCTGGATAGAAGGTGCTACATGGTGCCCATGATTTTCACTTCAGATATCTTCTTGCAGTATGAAATTCTCCCAGTAATATACATACCAATACCAAGTAGATTTCAAACATTAAAATGAAAAAAGAATTACCCCGCAGCTCAGTTAAAATGTCTATTTTTTGCTCAAGAATAGCTTCAAGTTGTGTAGCGTATGAATCAACATCATAGTCTACTTCTTCAGTCATCTCTAGGAGAGCCTTTTCATCTTCTAACCATCGAATAGATTCCTAAAAGAACAAAAGTTCAATAATCCAATAAGCCTCTTTGTAAAACAGAAACCAATTTACAAGTTCTGTTAAATGTAATCAAACATACTTAAAATGGTATTCTCTAAAATATTAACAGACAGGGCTGGCCAGTTAGCTCAGCTGGTTAGAGTGCTGCCTTATAAAATATTGAAGGACATAAAACACCTTTATTCACAGACAGTAAAAAAAAATTTTTTTTTCCCTTTTTGTCTTTTTTCGTGACCAGTAACGGGATCGCAACCCTTGGTGTCACGCCCGCACTGCGACTGGCAACGGGATCGCAACCCTCGGTGTCGTGCCCGCACCACGCTCAACCAGTGAGCGGACCGGTCTCTATATGGGATCCAAACCCTCGGCGGGAGCGCCACCGCGCTCCCAAGTGCCGCACTCTACTGAGTGCGCCACCGGGCCGGCCCGACAGACAGCAAAATTTAAAAAATGTTTTAATCCAAACACAAACACATATGGCCTAAGCAAGATGACTTCATTTCTCTACTTTTACTGTCTTGGGATGGGAATTTTCAGGAGGGAATGAATCAAACAGACAGCAAAATTTAAAAAAATGTTTTAATCCAAACACAAACACATATGGCCTAAGCAAGATGACTTCATTTCTCTACTTTTACTGTCTTGGGATGGGAATTTTCAGGAGGGAATGAATCAAACAAAAATTATCAAGGAGCAGAGTGAATCCTCAAAACTTCAGCAGCTCTCTAAAACGGGAAGAATGGCCATAATAAAGCTACTGAGTAGTAGCTTAGGATTTATAAGTCATCTGAAATTAGCATATCCAGTTGGGGACTCAACATAGTTGGGCCAAGAGATAACCTTAAATTCTAAACACCAGCTCTTCAAAATTATTGTGACTATAAGGGACCAATGGATAGCCAATTTTAGAAGAATCAAACTGCTAAATAGTAGTTAGTTACTATTCATAACCACTTCAAGAAACTCCTTCATTCTTAACTGACTTTATTATTATTACTTTTTAAACTCATTTTAGATATACGGAACCTATGAGCTTCATTTGCTAACAATGTCATATAGATTATTAACAAGGCCAGATCTTTCTGAATTAAAGAGTTTTTTTGGACATAAAAATAGGTGCTTCCCAGCTCTTTAGGAGTATATACAATCTCAATTTGCCAAATATCAATTCACTTTAATGGCTAATTACAACCAAGCTATCACCAGACAGAACTGGCTAACCTAGGTATAGGTATCTATTAGAAAATATATATGTATCAATTAAAAACTATAAATACACTAATTTTTTAAAATTTTCCTTCACCTATACTTATAATTTTTGAAGGAATAACATATGGAATTGCAAAAATACTTGATTGAAAGTCAGAATACCCAGTTCTGCCAATAAACAACTGTGAGACTATAAAATGGCAGAGTGGGAAATGATAGTTGTTACATGATAACTTGCTCCAAAAGAAAACAATTTTCTTAAATTATAAATGCCTCTTCTCAACTTTATCTAAACACCTAGGCCTCTACAAGAGATTCTCATAATAAGAATTTGACTAAAACCCTAACAGTTTTAATGAATGTACAACCTAATCTGAAATAAAGTACTGATGCAGGAAGATTAAATCACTGCACACTGGTTCAGGAGCTTTCCCCTTCCAGAGTAAACAAAGTGATAGGTAAGCAGTGAAAACCATGGTATTGGTGACCCCAGAAGGAACGTCTGGAATGATGCTTGAATAACCTAGAAATGAGGTACCTTAATTTTGTTTACAGATAAGCAAAGATTTCAACATCAGAGAAGGAATACAGGTTAATTAGGGAGACTGAGTTACTGTTCATTTTTTCCTCAGGAAGCATCCATAGTACTACAGGAAGGCGGGCAGTGAGAAAAACAAGCCGAGAAGGAGTCTTAGAAAGATGTCCAAATTATATCTTCACTTCCTCATAAATATCACCATTCAGGATATTCCCATGTTTGAAAAAAGGGAGGGGACTCGTACAGTAAAAGTACTTTTAATAGGATGAACGCACAATGGGATGAACACCGAAGGAGTTACTGCTACAGACAGGAACAAAACACCTCTCACTCAACACTAGTAGCTGTCAGTGGCAGCACTGACAGCTCGGTCAGGGCAAGAAGTCTCCACGCCCTGAAGTATCCTTTCTTTTCTGTAAAGACTGATACTTCCTCAACTGCTCCAAAATGCTCCAAAAAAGTAAGAACAGTTTTTCTTACTGCTGTCATATAAAGTGGCCTAACATTAAAAAAGGAGTAGTGGTGGGTAGAAGTTCAACTCTTTTTAAAAAATGGACAGCTGACAAAAACAAAGGGGGAGAAGAGTGGTAAATAAAGTAGACCTTTTCATCACTGGTGCAAAGAAATGTTGATTGTAGCCATCATTCTATTCAAAACTTGCTGCATCATATGCCATACAAATACACATATACATATATGTAAACTAGTATTTCTTTTTAAGAATGTGTAGTGTGATAGTTCAAGAATTATGGAAGTTTTTAGTTAATTTATCTCAAGAAATATTTTGATGAAAGTATTTTACTTTACCTGGAACACGGCCCTATGATCTTCTACAACTTGTTCTTCCATTTCTACCATTTGTGAGACAGCTTCGTGGAAAGTAAACAATTGTGGAGAAACCTCTTCCTCCTTAAAATAAAATGGTTTAAAAATTGTACATAAAGTTAATATGTTAAATGTTACAAAGGTTGTTTTTCAATGTCATTTACAAAATATCATTTAGAATTTGAGGAAACATGAATGGTAAAGACTGTGAAAGGCAAAGCTGCAATTTCTTTCTATGGGTCAAAATACTTAATGTCACTCTAAATAAGACAACCCAAACTTAATCATATAAATAAGGAATAATTTTCACTTAGACCCAGCTTTATTGCAGAATTACCCTAAAAAAGCAATCGCTTTTGGAATACTGCAACTTTTCAAAAATACATCTCTTACAGGCTGTAAATATACTGAAATATTTCCTCAGTATTGTTTACTTTTCACTGACAATTTAATTCACATGTCTTCTTTTCTGAAAAGAGATGTAAAAGATAGCATCTTTAGGTGATGTAAAAATATGTCTTTTATGAATGTGACTATCAAATTGTGTTCTGAAGGACTCAACTCTTATTAAATATTAATTTCCAAATTACACTGTACAATTTGCTTACTAGTTGTTACAGATTCACAATTTTACTTTTAAAAAAACCTACATATTTACAAAATATATTCATATTTTGGTCCTACGTCAAATCAAAACTTCTCTGGGTTAGCTTTCTTTTTTGAGCTTCCTTCTCAATCCAATGTGTAGTGATTTATTTCCTCAAAATGTGGCTTTAGTGATAAAGTCAGCCATGTGGAAGTTTATTTAAAATTGTTTTATAAAACGTGAGTAGAAAAAGCCTCAATTTCCAAATAAAATACATGATTCTAAATGTACGTACATATTTTGATTAAATGTTATGATAAAGTAGACATTTGACTCTCATCAATAATCTACCTCCCCTAGAAGTTTATATAATCAAGTCAGCCAAAGAACTTTTTATCTTCTCTTTGGGAAAATAGGCATCTACTTTTTACCAGGCCATGATGGCATTTTCTCATATTCTTTTTCTCTCTCTGATAAACATATACACTCAACACACCTTTATTCATTTTTCTGGCCACCTACTCCCCAAGCCCAGAATATCCCCTTTGTTTCCTTTGCTTCAACATACTAGCAAGTTCCTATGATTTTTGTATAGTGTACTCCAAATACTTTGTTCTACACAAATTTCTTCTTCTGGAATTTTAATGCATTTGATTATCCTCTAATTTGTCTACCTATATTAGTTTTTATCTCTAGAGCATATCTTAGATGCATTCCATTTTAATCTACCTTGTTAAGACTTAATAGAAAAATAGGAATATGTACATGTGCACCAATACCTAACTAGAGGCTAATGCTGAACCATCTCAAGATAGTTCCCTGGGGATGGCAAAGTTGAAAGAAATGCACTCTCTCTCAAACAGGGAGGCTGCATGAACTCATGATCTCATACTTACAACTCCTAGATTAGTTCTCATAACCCAGTCATCCCCTCCAAATTAAAGCCTTGCAGAAGCCCAATATACGCAAGAATAAAATGGAAAGATATGCTATTGGGAGTGCCTGTCTGGCTCTGTTTTTTCCATATGTTGGAGAGGTACCATATCTAGGTACATTGTAGGGTTTGTTTAAGGATTTCAAAAGCAACTACAGTCTCTTTCAATACTTCTAAAGATAGATAGGTGATAGGCTGAGGCCAAGATCTCAGTTTTAGTTCTTTATCCTCCATGGCTCAAGTCTTGGAACTTTTACTTTAAAATGGGTTTTCTCAAACTTGGAACTACTGACATTTTTGGTGGGTGGGGATGCTGTCATGTGCATTGTGTGATGTTTAGCAGCATCCTTGGCCTCTACCCACTATATGCCAGCAGCATCACCTCAGTTGTGACAACCAAAAAGGTCTCCATACATTTTGCCCTGCGGAGCCAAATTACCCCTGGTTGAGAACTGCTGCTTTAAGCCCTGTTTTAGTAAAAATAGACAGTGATCTGGAACATGGTAACAAAAAGTAATATGTCCATTTGTTACCCTAGAGTATTTTGGACTCAATACCTTCTAGAAAGTATTATAACAACTAAAATTATGTTTTCATGTTTTCGAAGAATATTGTATTGCATGTAGCAATAAATTTAGTTGACATATGATCTGGTTCTGGAGTAAGAAAAATCTAGGTTTTAATCCTGGCTTCAGCACTTACTACTTGTATAATCTTGGTCAAGTTACTAAAACCTCTTAGAATATCAGTTATAAAGTAGGGATGATTGTAGTACCTACACATTGAGTTGTGAGGATTAGATCAGATAAGTAAAGTGCTTGGCAAATGTATGTCATATAGTAAGCAACTAATAAATTTTACCTTTTAACATCATGAGAAAACACCACCATAGGATTTTAGGTGGAAAAGAAACTATATAGAATACATATTTTAAAAGTGAAGTTAAATAACTATATATATATACTTTTATATCTCACACACAGAAAGGAACCCTTTCAATATATTAAAAGCAATAGTGTGAAAGAATACATTGTTTTTGCTTTTTTATTTCTTTATACCTTCCTGTCCTTATATAATGGGCATGTATTTTATTGAGTAACTGATATTATGAAATATCATTAAATATTTCAAACATACAGAAAAGCAGCCAGATTTAAGCTAGAATTTTGCCATGTCTGATTTTTAATACAGTTCATGCATCCTTTTATACATATGCATGTGTCCATAGTTTTGTTTTTATGCTTTATATATGATATATTGTATTATTCATAAACTTGTTTTTTGCTTATATTACTTTTAAGAATTACCAAATTTTAATATCGGTATAAAATATGAAAAAAAAAAATAGCTTAGATTGGGGAGGTTGATAAACTTTCTTAAAGGGCCAGATAGTACATGTTTTGGTTTTGTGAGCCACACAGTAGCTGTCACTGCTGTTGTGATAAGAAAGCAGCAGACAACCTATAAATGAATATGCATGGCTTGGTTCTAGTTCCAAAAAAACTTTATTTGTAAAAACAGATGGCTGGTCCATAGGTTGTAGTTTGCTAACTCCTGATATGGATGATAGTTTTCAGTTATTAAGTTTTGATACTGATGAAATGAACTAAGATTAGATCGATTATAACTATATTAAGTCACTCACATTTTGTTCACAAAGAAGTTTTAGATCATCTCTTTGAGGGGAACTCCCCACACCCCACTGTGTCTCTAAGTCTTCAATTTGGTTTGGTGGATGGTGAATTATTGGACGAACATCACCAGCAGCTGTTGGATCTACAGTCAGTTCTTTCACTCTATAAATACGTAAGAGATATCTAAAATTAATAAACACTCATGCACAAGAACAAGAAAACACCAACCTACTCAATATAAAGACAATTCAATTAACATACCAAGATTGATGATGTCACTTTTATAGGTCAAATTTATCTGAAGTCTGTGGAAACACTAAAGGGATTTTTGGTTGTTTAATTTTAGGAATTTACTTAGGCAACTTTACAATTACTACAAATGTAATTATTGTGCATAATAAATGAGATTAGCAGAGTATGTAGATGCAGTATTTCAAAGAAAATAACCCTTGTTGCAATTAAATTATATGCATAGAAAAATGTTAAAAATGGCATTTAGATCAATAAACGGATCATTGCCAAATCAGAAAATGATATACTTTGTAGATTTCTAGTATTTGTAATGCTCAATTAAAACAGCTATGTGTAAAATAATTTTACTTCTAATGTATAAAGATTGTAAGATTTTAAGTCCTATTATTTAAAAAATATTTACTCATCATACTTAAATTTACACATTCCAGAGAGGGTACACTTTCTAAATTGAGAGAACCTTGTTATTTCCTTGCAGCCAAGGAAATTTTTAAGATCATACAAAATAAAGATAAACTCTTCATTTTAAGCAAGACAATTTATCTTTTAATAATAAATATGCAAAAGTGACATCATCCTTAAAAAATACAGGGAAATAGGGAGCCTAAATTCTAAATTAACATTTTGAAGCAAATAAATTAATAAAGAACATAAAAATGCAGATCATGCAATATACCACCAACCTGCCAAATGAAATAAAAATGAATAATAAAATGGCTCAGGACAAAAGGAATGAGTGAAATGTTTATACACAGCACAATTCAAAAGAAACAATTAAAATAAACATCTTATGTAAAGAATGAAGTAGACCTGGTAATTGAAGGAGAAAAGTCGTCATACTCATAAGAAGGAGAGAGATCTGGGCGACTGCCACTACCCTGTGAGAAGGGAATGTCTGATGGACTAATTCCAAACTCCTTTACTCTGCAGCACCAAAACAGCAACAGATTAAAAGAAAATGCTCTTGTAAAGACAGCAATGCACATTTCAAGTTTTCATTTAGTATTCAGTTTTATTCATTTAGAAAAGGATATCAATGTTGTCGTGACAATGTATTTAGAATATACTTTACAAATAACCAATTTTAAGAGGTTTTGAACCTTTCTGTCTTAAATCCTTCCTTTTTTATGTATTCCCCCTCTTCTCATAAATGAGGTTATCACCTTAAATCTGAAATGCCTCTTTTTTCGCTATACAACCATTCAATCTATTTTCCTCACGTGGTCAGTACCACGAATATTTTATTAGTATTAATGAGTCCTCACCACTTTAGCAGTCTTTTTCAAACAGGACACAAGTAAATTAAGTCCTAATGCCTTTAGGCATTCATTGTTTGTAATGAATTAATTTCTTTCCTCTGCATCCAGAATGGTATGAGCTATGAAACATCCTTAGTACAACTGAGAAAATAGTTACTCAGTTTTCTGTGGCTGGTGATTCAGATCAAGGACCCTGGCTAAGAATAGCCTTTAGCAATGGAATTTAAATTGCTTTTGCTAATGTCTCTAATGCAGTTATATTTAACTAAATTATTACTTTTCTCACCCCATATATGAGATTCCTTATGTCCCTCCCCTTTGGGCCAACCCCATTTCACGGCAGTAGGCAATATTTTTTAAGTACTTCCTATATGTCTGCTATTAGGATTAGTAATTTTTAGGCATTGCATTATTTACTCCTTACAGCAATCTTGTGATATTATCACCTCCATTTTATAGATGAGAAAAATGGCTTAGAGAAATAAAGTATCTTACCCAAGATTATTCAATAAGAACATGGCATATCTGAGGTTCAAACCTAGCCCTAAGTACAAACTCTATGCTGTTTAAACATTTCAATGTACCAACCATATATACTCCATTTTTCTAGTTACTTCTTTTAGGTTAAACTAAAAGAAAAATTCCTGTCTTTATAGGTTAAAATAGTCAAATATCAATAACTTTTCATATAAAGTTATCAAACTAATATATTTCTTCTACTTATTATCTTTCTTTATCTATTCATAATATCTACTATCAAAGGTTCAGTACTAGATTCATCTGCCTTTTATCCTTTAAAGCAGTGACTTTGGAAACTTTATTTACCACACATGCTGACAAATGTAAATTTCTAATACTAACTTAACTCTTTTCATTCCCAAACACTCTGCTTCAGAATCTCCTAGACACCCCATTAGCCCCATCCACACATTTCGCTCTATCTAAAATCCTTTTGCCCAAGACAAACTACACTATATACAGGAATCATATTCCTCAAATACGCCATTAAAAACTCTTACTCACTCTGCTGGTAATACCAAGGTCACGGGTTTGGATCCCCGAACCGGCCAGCCACCAAAAAAAAAGAAAAAGACTTCAGTGCCCTTGGGCTGGCCGGTTAGCTAAGTTGGTTAGAGCACAGCCTTATAACACCAAGGTCATGGGTTGGGATATCCTTACCGGCTAGCCGCCAAAAACAAAACAAAGCAAAAAAACAAAAAAACTTCTTAGTCACTCTTCTACCTGAGACCCAGTCACTCCAACCTCTTCCATTATCCAAAGATTCTATCCTCTGCTTCAGGACAGAGGTTACTATCTGTTCCCCATACATCCTGTACTTCTTTTCCTTAGGACAACCACTAATCCCACTCTGAAAGATTCCCCCTCTACTCTCCTCTGAAATATCGCAAACTGTCATCTGACTGCAACTGGACATGTCATTTTAATCACTTACCATCAATGTGTATTGTTACAAACTATTCCCCATCTCCCACAAAATACGTCCAAAATACGACTAAAATAAGGATTTGAAAAAGACAATGTTTTCACATTTGTCTAAGTGAATTTTTAAGAGCATATGATTCCGACTAAAATAAGGATTTGAAAAAGACAATGTTTTCACATTTGTCTAAGTGAATTTTTAAGACAACTGCTCACTAAAGTAGCAACAGGAATAATGACTAATGCACTTAGTGTATTCCAGGCACTGTGCTAATAAACATTTTACACAGATCACCTTTTCACTCCTCAAAACAATCCTTTAAGATGGACATGATCATTATTAATCTCTCCATTCTAAAGATGAGGAAACCAGGGCACAGAGAGGTTAAGTAATTTTCCTGAGATTTAAGTAGTGAAACATGTATTAAACCCATTTTGTCTCAAGAACTAACACTCTTCAATCACTATGCTGAATCTTAAAAGCAAAGAAGTTTAAACACTTCAGATAACCAATATCCTAAAAATAAGAAAATTTTAATAAAATACTACCTACAACCACCTCAAAATATTGGTCTAAATAACATGAAGCAGATTTAATATTAAAGAGAAATGAACTCTGCTTGATTGTAAAAAAAAAAAAAAACTTATTGACTCAAGGTCATAAAACATTGGCATGAGCTATCAAGGGGGAGTTGAAGATCTTTATTCCTAGAGATTTGGAAATAAAAGTGAAACTATTATTTGTCCCAGATGATTAGTCATATTGCAAATGAGTTACATTATATGTTAGAACATCTTACTAGGACCTAAAGGAACTAGGGAAAGGCCAGCCAGATACAGCATTTCACAATATTAGGGGGAGTTCATTGCAGTCTGAAATCTTAAGACATGGAGGGGTTTTGTTTGTTTTAATTCTACAAAATGACAAGATTCTACTAGACAAAGCTGTTCCTCACCTCTCCTATTTTGAAATAAGCAGCATTTAAAATTAATGATAAAAATACCACACACCAAAAATGTTAATTATGAAGATCAATTAAAAGCAACACAATAGGGCCAGCCTGGTGGCGCACTGCTACAGTGCGCTGCTTGGGAGTGCGGAGGCGCTCCCGCCGAGGGTTCGGATCCCACATACAGACCGGTTCCCGCTCACTGGCTGAGCGAGGTGCGGGAGCAACACCGAGGGTTGCGATCCCGTTGCCGGTCCCGGTCCGGTACGGGCGCGACACTGAGGGTTGCGATCCGTTGCCGGACATGAAAAAAGACAAAAAGGAAAAAAAAAAAAAAAAGCAACACAATAAGGGTTTGTACTTAAGAGCTCATAATTCAAACTTTAGAAGGTATTAAATTTAGAAAATCCAGTAGTTCTGTATTTAGAAATGTAGCTCCATTACATTTTTTAAAAAAGCTATTCCATTTAGTACGTTTTAAAAAAAGCTATTCCATTTAGTATCTTTTTACAAAAGGTCAATAGGTTTTTATATTTTCCAGCACCGTTTACTACCTATTTAAAAAAGTATCTTCAGTTGAAACGAAAGAAGCAGGATATAATACAATCCCATTTATGTAAAGTTCAAATATAGCTGCCTATGTTGCTCAGGGATACATTTATAAGTAATAAAACTATTTTTTAAATGAGAAAGAAAAAAGAAAAATTTTCCACAGAAGTTAGGATAATGGTTACCTCAGGGTAGAGATTAATGAATTTAGGCATGTTATTCAGGATCTGTGATCAAGGAAGAACACACGGGGACCTTTTGGAGGGACTAATAATGCTCTATTTGATGACAAGAGTTTTCACTTTGTAAGTATTCATTAAATTATTCACTTTTGTTTAGGGTACTTTTCTACATGCATATGTATTTCACATTTTAATAAAAGATTAAAATAAAATTTCCATAGTGATTAAAACAAAGAAACAGGACAAATATTTTTCTCCAGCAATATTAAGAGAAACTCTACACTAGAAATGAATTACAAAAAGGGATTTTTATCTCTCGGTTAAAATCACAAATGTGGGCTGGCCCGTGGCTCACTCGGGAGAGTGCCGTGCTGATAACACCAAGGCCACAGGTTCGGATCCCTTATAGGGATGGCCGGTTTGCTCACTGGCTGAGCGTGGTGATGACAACACCAAGCCAAGGGTTAAGATCCCCTTATCGGTCATCTTTAAAAAAAAAAATCACAAATGTAACATGTGATAATAGAAATTTAAAACAATGTAAAACAGTCATTCAAAACAAGAGCAGTGCGGAAAAGAATCTATGGAACAAATATAAATATGCCCATCATAATTCAAAGTCCCAAGGGCATTTCATGACTGTAAGGAATAAACTGTTTTAATAGTCTATAATACATTTTGTTCTTCCATCTGTAATAAGTTGTCTACCTAAAAGTTTAATAACACTGTTAACATGAATAAAAAAGTGTAACCCACATAGACACCAGAAAGAAATGTGCTATCACTTCTTACTCAAATCCTAGGCTCCCTATATATATCCATTTAATATTACTAGGAATACTTTTCAGCATATAGCAAACTGATTTAAGAAATACAGACTGTATTCATATGAGAGTCTTGTATAACAGCAATAATTTGCATGATTTAAATGTAGGAGAATATTAACAAACAGAACTTGATAAAATGGAAAAATATAATAATGTTCAAGGATAGAAAGACCAATTTTATCAAGGATATCAATCTCTTCCCAAATTATACAACACATTTCTACTTAGTTTTAGAACTTGACAAAATGATTCTGAATATCATCTTAAAGATGATTTTTTAACATAAAAACTTTCTTAATTGAAAGAATAATGTACTAACATTAGCCCTACCAGATATTGTCATGCAATATACTACTCTACTCCCCTCAAATTTCAAAATGGAGAACCATCTCTCATACCTATTTGCATATCTTAATGTATTAAGAGTATTTTCACAGGATGCCATTCCTGGAGAGATTGTGGCAATCTACAAGGAAAAAAATGCAAAGGTAAATGTTACAAAATGTTATAAATGATGAAGACAATACTGACATATAGCTCATTTAGGTCTAATCTTACCATGATTATTTAAAAATAAGATTTATTAATGATATCTGAACTCCAAGATAATTTGCTATCTCATACTCATAACCAGATAATAATTACAAAGTCCAGTTAAACTCTAAACAAATCTCTGAAGGCACCAGAAAATGATCCAAATCCCTCAGAAAATGGAGGAGAGGTCAACACCTAGAAGATGGGAACAGCACTGAGTGACTGCCACCTCCCTTCACCTACTTTTTAACAGCTTCTTGCCAGAGTATGTAAGCTCTACTGTCACACAGGACAACTAAAACTTGATTAGAAACTTGCAGTCTCATTGGTTAAGAAATTAAAGGACACAGTTTTGGTGTGGAAACCACAGCAGCTGGAAGAGTGAAGTTTGTCCCAGAAGGGAGGAAACCCAAATTTTTCATATAAACTGCCCAAATCTCTGGCTGACTCCTGAGCTAGGCATACATACGCAAAGCATACTAGAAGCAACATCACTGAGTCTAAAAGAACTAAACAGAGATTTCAATTTCAGTTGCTACCCACAGCAGAAGAGATAAGAGTTTGGAGTAAGTTCAGGCAAGTTAACTTCTGCTAGAACAACAAAAACCCAGTAACCTTCAGCAGAACAAAACAGGATCCAGAGTCTCTACAAAGTACTCACTCATAACACACATGATAGAATCCTAAATTACTACACATATAAAGATATAGGAAAGTGTGACCCATACTCAAGGAAAAAGAAAATCAAGAGAGACCAGCCCCAAGAAGACCCAGATGTTAGAATTAGTAGAATGCATTATAACTGCAATATAATCCTCTCCTCTATCAGACTGGCAGGGACCACATCTTAAATATCACTGTATCTCTCACAACAGAAGAATTCAAAGCACTGTCATTAACATATATTTTTTCCATAAATACTGTGTAATTATTTCTTCGGGATTAAAACAAATTAACAAAACAAAACCAAAAAACAAATATAAACTTACCATGCAGGTACGAGAGTTTTCACCAATGAATGAATCTCTTAACACCTGAGTGAGTTTACTTGCTCGGAAAGGAGTATGAGGTTTATTTCTACCTAAGGCTCTAATGCACTCCTGAAAATTAAACCAAACAAGTCTCACATATTAGGTCTTCTTATAAGAAGTAATCTTACAGTAGGATAAATGTAAAAAGTTAAATTTTTAAAGTGGCACTTCAAAAGAAAAAACACAGAATGCTTCATTGTACTCCTTCCAACCCCTACTTTTCTAGTAAAGAAAGAAATACGGTTAACCGGGCCTAACTTTTTAAAAGGCCATTCCACATTTTTCTGAGGAATTATTTCTTAGCTCAATTCTGTGCTTCCTTGCCCTCCTCCAAGAAAATACGACTGATTAAGCCCCTATGGAGTCTATTTAGGTAGCCTCAGAATGGCCTGCTAACTCACATATCCTTTACCCCATCTAAAAAGAACGAATAAGGGCCGGCCCTGTGGTGCACTCGGGAGAGTGCACGCTGGGAGCGCAGCAGCGCTCCCGCCGTGGGTTCGGATCCTATATAGGACTGGCTGGTGCGCTCACTGGCTGAGAGCGGTGCGGGCGACACCGCACCAAGGGTTGCGATCCCCTTACCGGTCACGAAAAATACAAAAAATAAATAAAAAGAATGAATAATATGTACAAGGAAAAATTCTAGGTACAATAAAATTTATAACTCCAAGTCATAAATAATAACAAGCAACTAAGTCTTGAAATTACATCAGGTAAAACAAATACTACTATTCTGCAACTGAGTAAAGAAAATTAAAGTCAAAAGTAAAGGACCTTTCGCAATTAAAAACATTTTATTTACCTTGAGTGCTAAAAGGCTTTTATTAATTTCAGCACCTTCAAGCCTAGTTTGCCTGTCCGCACTGGAAGTATCAGCTCCTCTTTCATTTCCAGCCAAATCGATGAGAGAAAATTTACCATGTAGTTTTCCTTTCCTCCTAAGAATAATCTGAAACACTGCATGGCTTCGAGATGAATGTGCATTTGCAGATGTTTGGCCGGATGTTCTACAATGTGATTAAGGACATCTTGATAAATAAAAACTTCAATTTACATGTTCAGACCACAGCACTTCATTTAAAACAACAAAAAACTATTCAGCCAGTTTTCGTAATTTAAATCCAGATGAGACACCCTGAATTAACAATACTTAATAACCAGACTCAATTTAATCTGGCATAATTCTAACATATCTATAGTATGGTAGCAATATAATGAATATCACTCAAATTGACATGTAACAAAAGTTTTTATGAACAATGATTTTTACTTCCAAGATGAACTGAACAACATCCTCACTTTATTTTTATGCTATACCCAAAGTATCTAAAACTGAAGTTTCTCTTTTTTTAATTAAAATGAGACTTACCTGCAACTGTTGCCTATGTCAATGAGTTTCAGAACATCTTCAACACATTTGACCTCCCGTTCCTGTAATCCCACCACTTGAACCTGCTGTTTTCCATCTTCTAGAACTCTTAATTTTGTTTTCCTATTTAGCAAGTCAAACACCTATGAAAAACCACATTTAAATTAGAAAACTAAAGAAATAAAGAATCGGTTTATAAAAATGTGTCACCCAGAGTCAAAATTATTTCAGAGATTAAAATAATAATAATTATTATTAGAATAATAATGCTAAACACTGAAGTTGAAAGTTCAAAGGATATTTTTTAAAAATCTCATAAATTCTAACATAATATTCCAAATACATATAAAAAGTTTGTGGTGATGAAGGTGGCACAGCAACGTAAATGTACTTAATGCCACTTAATTATACAGTTAAAAATGGTTAAAATGATAAATTTTATGTTTCATATATTTTACCACAATGTTACAAAATAAAAATTTTAAAAAGTTCCCATTTACCTTTCCACTATAAATTTCAAAAAATGTTGCATATACTTGAAGTTCTAGCTTCTTATAGTTTGGCTTCTTTAGCATTAAAAAGACATCTCGAGCTGTCAAGAATTTTATATACAGAAAATTAAGATAGAACAAATATTTTTAAAAAGCAATTCAAATTTTCTATTTTTAAGGGAATCAGTTCATCTTTATCTAGGATAACAGTATAAATACTAAAAATAAAGACTAAGGTGAGTATTAATTTTACAGAAAAACAGCAGTAATAAAAGCTAATCTCCTTTCATCCTTTTAGAATGCTACTACTTATCCTTATAAACAGCAAAAAATTATAGACAGTCAGATGGTCATAATAAGGTTATTCTCATAACCAAACGTAACAGCATTTTACAATTCAGCTATATTCAACAATTAATACTAATCTCCAACAATGTGCCAGATAACACCGATACAAATATAATCAAGATTCCTGCCCCCCAAAGCTTAATCTTACAGTTCAAGCAGTGTAATAACCAATAACTGACATAATATACAGATTTATAAATATAACATTACTTGCTAGACAATATTTTAAAGCCTTACTTCAAAGCCACCTGAATAATAGCCAAGAATAATATTACAAATTACATGCAAAAAGGACAGTTACCTGCTAATGCATAAATTCCTTTAGAACAATCTTGGTTCTTTCCTGAAAAGTCACCACCCATAGTCTATATTTTAAAAAGAAAACAAAGAATAATAATACACAGTATTCAGGAACGAGTCTTAAGAATTTAGGTCTTAGAATTAAGCTATAAAGAAAAGAAACTATAGCTTCATACCAGGATGTAAATTTAACAAATTACTTACATGAGTTTTTCCACTTCCAGTCTGTCCATAAGCAAAGCATGTAGCCATTCCCCTTTCAAATATAGTTTCCACTAGTGGCCTTGCAGTAAACCTTAAAAATAAAAATGCATCAGTCAGAATGTATTGCCAGAATTTCAGTAAAACAAATAAATAAAAATTAACATCAACTAATACAAAGTTTATTTTATTAATAAATAAAACTTATTTTTATAAAATTAATTTTATTTATTAAATTATCAAGATTAAAAAAATCTTTATTAATTCCACGTAATAATTCCATAATAAATAATGGTAATAAAAATAAGGCACATATAATAAAAACAAAGTTTCAATTACAATTTCAACAGAAATACAATCAAAAGAGTAGTAATCTCAATACAGAAAAGCTAATGGGAAAAAAAGCCCTGCGAAAACATTATCTTTAGACCATCTAAGTAAGTGGAAAAATGAT